AATTCTCTGAACGACTCACAAATAAAACTCTATGAACTCCTTAAGAACTTTGCTAGAAAAAAATGGCTTCCGTTTATTCTAAAAGCTTGGGCTACTCAGCTATGAGGTGGTGCTGAAAAATGGTATCCAGAAGGCTGGCACAATGTGTTAAAGTGTTCGCTAGCATTTCCGTTGTTTACAGTTTTCTCAGCATCTGTCTTTTGCTTCGATAGGAATCATTTGGAAACACACAATGACGTTGCATTCTGTTGAAGTTTTCTATGGTCTTTGAAGTTATGCTGTATTGCTCTACTGATTTCTTGCTTCCCTCAGTCGTTTTTCTACAGAATGGGTGATGCCGAACTCCAGCAGCCGATTGAAAAAGGAGGAAATGTGAGCAAACAATTCCAACCGAAGAAATACAAAGATGGAGGACAGGAATGGCGAAAAACAGAGGTGGAAATCGCATGCACTAAGCAATGTTTTACCACTTATTTCTCAGTTCCTCCAAGCTTTATATTCTTTGGAAAACTTTAGACCTCAACGCAGCAAGCCTGTGGATATACACCATTCAAGACAAGCTCTATGAGCAGAGCTACCACGCCCTTGACTCCAAGTCAGTTGCAGTCTTTTTTTTGCGTCACATTATCCCATAAAATCAAGCAAGAATTCTTGTGGAAAGCAGCGCTGATGGCGACGCATCCCTGGCGCGTTGCCGTCTTCTGTGTGCCGAGCTACTGAACAGTGGCGATACTCCTGTCGAACATACCTTGAAACTGATGCACAGCAGACGAGGCTTCAAAACATGTTAAAAACGGCTCAAAAAAATCGAATTAGGGATGTAAATTTGATTTTGTTGTGGACATTTTTAAAGCCTGCTTCTCTCTGATTAATAAAACATTGTGGCTTTTTTCCAATGCATTTCAGGGAGTTGCCATCACAAGTTTCTGCTCTAGTTTTCGTATTTGCACCGTACTCCACTTTACTTCTTATCCTAATTTTTTTAATTTTTTCTTTATTCAGCTTGTAAAGATGTCCTATTTTTAATTAAATTCATTATAATCTTAACTCTTTTATTTACTGCCTTTTTTTCTCCTTAATAGCAGGTTATGTTGCGAAATATAACTCGTTTGAAATGCTGAGATATTTGCAAAACTCCGGACCACGGGTGTATGCAATGGCGAACGAACACGCGCTGTTGTCCTTACCGGCGTGTTCGTTCGCCATTGCATACACCCGTGGTCCGGAGTTTTGCAAATATCTCAGCATTTCAAATAAATTCATTACATTTTTGCCTATTTTTCTTCTATTTTATTTTTTGTTTTTATGCCATCCATTTCCCTACCTCTTTTGCTAGAAAGGAATCCGCTGCCTCCTTTTTCCTATTTTCCATACTTATTTTTATCGCCATAGGCTGGTTAATACTCTTAGATAGTTGGAAAATTTTACGCCGTTTATTCCTGCTTTACAGGTTTAAATATCCAAAGAAGATTTGTGAAAGAAAGAAAAAGAACAGGGACTCTAGGCTACAGATTTTACTAACGAACTACCAAACAATGAAAGCCTTTCTATCGGCCTGTAATAGAAATTTATTTTAGTTTCCGAACGGAATTCTCTCAACGGATCTATTTGCCGTTCAAGTAAATCGCATCCGTTCGAGTATCAAAACCAATCGGCGTCACCCACTCCTTTTCAGACCCATGGTGAGTAGCATTCCTCAAACGCTGTAAGAAGCTGAATTCTGAGATTTAATAGGCGATAGAGTGTTATGAATCCGTGATTTCACTGAAGATTTTCCTTTTTTAAACTTAATCATACCAGTTCCTAAAAATTTCACAAGCTGCTCTTTCTAAAAGCCATAACTGGTGAAAAGTTTTGAATTTATGCTTCTTTGTAAGATGGTTACGTTTTGTAAAACTTTGCATAGCTTGCTGTCCTTAAGCTATTTTATTCTGATTGTATTCGATAGCAGTTGAATGTATTCATTCAGTTCCTCCACAATCGCATTCCACTCCGAAGGCTACGCACCATTCCCAGGTTCGGCCCGGAAGTGCAGTTCCAATGACAAAGGAACAGAGATTAACCTGGGGAAGACGTAAGCGGTTTTACAGCGGTTGACAGAAAAAAGAAAAAAAGCGCAAAGTTCACTGTGCTTTCTCATATTATTTTTTTTTGTAATCTCTTATTCAAAGGTTTTTCTGAACTAAAACACTCTAAATGCAGTACCTCCGTCGGCTGGTTATCGCTCAGTGTCCGCAATGGGCCAACCGCCACGAGCACTGAGTCGCCAGAGCGATGTCGGAATCGGCCAATGTGAGTGCGCTAGGTGCTCTTCCTGTCCTAGAAGGACGTTTCTTGTGTTTTACGTCAGCAACATTCTTTCTGCTTGTTTAAAGTGACTATTTTCCAATTTTATGAATTAAAGATTTATTAATATTGCCCGGAAACACTAGTGACAAATTGCTCCAACTGACAACCATCGAAATTAATATAGATTATCCAGAAAATTATGCTGCTTTCTAAACTCCAACTTCAAATGCACGTATTTCTCAGCTAGTGCTTACTAGTTGAAACGACTATTGAAATACGTACTTCTCTAATTTAACGTATTAACGTATTTAATGCCTATTCTTTTTAACGGCAGGGTATCTCAAATAATACGTTAAATTGTGATTATAACTACGGCCTCAGCTTAACTGGGTTCGTTGCCGATTTGACCTCCACCCCCCAGATCAATCCCGTTGACGGGTGAATGCTGATGGCAAAAAGATCGATAGAATTAGCTGAGAGACAGGCGAAACGAAGGACCCGCATGGTGTGGTGGTACTAACTGGTAAGGGCAATAGCGCGTTCGTTCCCCACCGCATACGCCTGCGGTCCGGAGTTTTGAAAATATCTCAGCATCATTGAAGTTGCATATTTCTCTGTACGAAGACGCCAAAGTTTATTTCCTTTGTCACCGAAGCACTTTAGAATGCTGGGAGCCTGTGAATGTTTAATTTTAAGCAGTAAACTCGTGGTTTTCTTTCTCAGTCTTTCACCCGTGTGGCCATCGAACAGCTTAAAAGTTTGCTTTATCAGAGGTATTATTGATGAATACGCGTCGATTCTATCTGCAATCTTGAGGATAGCTGAACCAGTGCGTTCCCACGTGGATGTGGATTGGAGTACAGCGCTGGGGAGTGGTTCGAACTAGCACGTCGCTTCTTGGTGGACTGCATCACTAACCACTGTGGCGCCCAACTCTGTAGCAAAAACTGCTGCCATTACAACCTCGAGTGAAACCTGATGGCACGAAGTTTTTCATGCAAGTAAAGTAGTAGGTCGCGATGCTGGGAGTGCAATATTACTCTGATTAAAGCATTGCTTTTTCTCCTTTGCAGGTTTAGTCAACCCATAGTTTTCTTATCACATATAAAAAGAGTTGGCAACATAGCTGAGTGCTCTTTTGCATCGTAATCATATCTTACAGCAAACTATTGTCGGCATAGACAGTACCGATCACGCGAAGCGCTGTGGTTAGAAGTGCTGTAAAATACAGTGGACCAGTGATTAGCTCGATCCCACCCTGCGGTCTCAGGTGGTGAAGCCTTGTTTAACAATAGGTTCGGTAAATTGATACCAGCCTTGTCTGAAAACGTAAGAATGCTGAATGATACATCGGGAGGGCACACTAGTTGTTGTATCGACCAAATTCAACCAATCCCATAATCTACCAATGGATCTCAATTAATGGTGCATCACTAAACACGGCCAACTTGAATGCTTTTGCACAACTCTTTATCTTTTGTGGTGAGCACCAAAAATAAATTTTCATCATCAACGCTGGATGCGGAGCACTTCACAGTTGATGTGTCGAAAGCGTCACATTTATGGAACATCACCTTATTTGCGTCTCATTTTTAGATTTGTTGCTTTGCTTTAGCAGCGACTCTAAATTGCTCTTCAATGTTAGAACAGTGGAAGCACTAAATCTGTATATGCTCTTAACACTCTCATGGAATAGCCTGTAACAGGTGATCTAGGGCCGAAGAAAAAAATGTTCTAAGCACTGAAGTGGACATCGAACCAGACAATGGAAATAAAGATGGGTGAAGAAATTGGGTGAAAAATATTAATAACTCTTACGCTCCATTGTTTAGATTTCGGCGAATCATTTCAGGTGTGGGTTCTCGCTATCAGTCTTACTGCACACTTCCACGACCTGAAGAAGTAGATGTGGGAACTCTCAGTGATATGCATTCGAATCTTCACGCTTTCTACTCAAACTTTCCATCAAAGGTTTCGTTTTTTCTGTTTTCAGTAGGTCAGAGGGATTTCCGTAAAATGGCAAAGCTGCAGCAAAACTGTTTTAGGGTTTCTGCAAAAATATAATTACCAGTGACTATTTGCTAGTGAAATTAATGCTCGGCGCAAATCCGGAGTGCATCTTAGAAACTGTGTCATTTAGTTAGACGACGGAGGAAAAGTTCTTTGAAGGCGAAAACAATTTGGAAATACTAGTAACTAGCAGAAATCCACTTAAGAGTAATAAAATTGCAAAAGTGGGCCAACATGGAATAGACTCATACATGCGGCAAAAATAAAACGAATGCGTAACATCGTTAGCCGCAGGAAACTAACAAGCTGGTCAATCACACCCACTGAGCTAAACGACAGAAAGGCGTAGTCTAATGAAACAAGTTGTCTTCACATTTAGTCGTACGCTTGTGTTCTACAGTGTCCATTTCGTGCTTTGAAATGTTTTCTTTGTTCTTCGGATTATTGTCAAGCTCGTTTGCGAGAGACGAAACAATGACACATCCATACGTTCAGCTATGGTAAAGATTGGATCGAAAATCGGATATATGTATATATATATATATATATGGCAGAAAATTTATAGATAGAAAACCGTTGTCATAAACTATCGATAAGTTATTGAGCCACTATGAAATTTCATTTGTTCTGGATTAAATGAAATGAGGTGGGATGCTCATCTGACGAATCGCATTGAGCAGGTGATTTCTCGCACTCCGTCGATGGCCACCGTCGTGCCAGCAGTAGTTCCTGTAACTGCATCCGATTTTATGCGCACTACGTCAGCTTTTGCCGCTCCGGCTGTACCCATGACACCTCCGATACCTTACAAGCAGAGGGAGATCGTCAACTGGAATACTCTAAGTTTATTATGTAGTATGCAGGTAAGATTAACTTGCAAACGAGTTTTTATTACATATAAAATCATTAACTAAAATGCTAAGATGCTAACAAAACAGTTCGTGTCATTTTATTTGTATGGCCTACCAATATTTTCGTTGTAATAGAATGCCTTAAAGTTAATATTAAGTTTATAACAGGTTTGGCCACTGTCAATTTGCTACCATATAGGTGAACTTGTAAAAGACTTTCGCCGTCATTTTTATTATTGTTATTTATTACTATTTTTCTACTTTATTTCGTTTTATCCGTCTTCACGTCTACTATGCGGATCACACCACTTCTCAAATTCGATTCGTTTCCTCGCATCCATTGTCCACGAAGATCTTCCAACTTTTACGTGTGGCTTCGCTTGCTGCTTGATGATTTTTATTTCATCTTGGATGTCGTAGAATGCTCGTCGAGCACTTCTCCCTGGAATCTTGAGATAGCCGAGTTGGAGCGCTTCCAATTGGATTTCAGAGAGTGAGCTTTTTCCCAGAAAACTCCGGTACCAAGTTCCGGACCCCGGAGGGATGAGAGACTTGGTTGGCCCTTAGCGGAATCGAACTAGTACCATATTCGAGATGACGGGCATCACAACCACTGTGCCACCCACTTCCAGTAATTTTATTGCACGCTGCGTGAATAACAAAACAATTACTATCTTAACCTTTTTATTTACATCCTACTTTTTTCAACAGCAGGGTATTTTTAAGGTCCGGAGTTTTGTAAATATCTCCACATTATAGTAGTTATATTTCGCAAAATACACTGCCGTTAAAAAAAATAGGCAGTAAACAAAAAGGTTAAGATTGTGATTATAACTACAGCCTCAGCTTAACTGGGTCCAATGCCGATGTGGGCTTTCCAGATGAATCCCGTTGACAGGTGATTGATGATGGCACTGATCGGTAGAACTAGCTGAGAGACAGGCGAAACGAAGGACCTGCATGGTGCGGTGGTGAACGTGTTACTCCCCGGAAAGGACAATAGTGCGTTCGTTCACCACCGCAGACACCTGCAGTCCGAAGTTTTGCAAATATCTCAGCATTATAGTACTTATATTTCGCAAAATACCTTGCCGTTAAAAAGAATGGGCAGTAAATAAAAAGAATACATATTGATTAGTGATACCGAGGTTCAAGGAAAATCGGTTTCGAAATATTACTACGCGTTGTGCTAGCTGATAACAACACCGACTTCTGCACGATGTGCGCAATGATGTATGTCCGGAAGAAAAACAAGTTGTTATCACCGGACATTATCATTATATCGACCATCAGCATCGTGTATAAAAGGGCACCACTGAGTAAGGATGCCTCATTCGAGGAGCTGGCTCGCTGAAGAAGACCTGACTCAACACGAAGGCGAAGCTGCCACGTCGAGACGAATAACAAGCGAGGACCATCGACTCGGATCATCGGCTCTGAGGAAGACGAAGACGTCGAAACGTTAGCCGAAATAAACATCATTATCAACCTCGTGTGAGCTCATCAAAGAAAGAATACATAGTAAATAAAAAGGTTAATATACCAAGAGTGTCAAATTTTCCACCCATGGAACTTCCTCGTTTGAGTGACGCAGAAAGTCAAGCAGTATTCGTTTTCCACTGCTTTTCCATCACTCTTCTCGATGGCCTCCTATGTTGATCAAGCTACTCAGTGCTTTCTCTTTGTTCAGATCTGATGTTTTGTCTTTTACCACGTTGAATTCTTCACAAGTATTTATATGAGCGATGTCATTAACAAAGCGAAGATTTTGGAGCTGTAGCGTATCAGTTTCTACTTCGCAGATATTCCACTCACTTGTTGTATTGCCTTGTCGAAATCGACATCGAACATTTTCATTCTAAATGGCACCATTTTTTCGAAACGCTTTCTTTACTTCAGGCTGTACGACTGCCTCCTAACGAGGTAACTTCTCAGACTTCGAAAAGAAGAACGGCTGGGACGACACTCAGTGAACTGTTCTGGATCAGAACGTCGTAATTGTCATACAGAACGGATTAGAAGTCGTAGACGACGTTTTCCAGTGCTCTCTTTAAATCTGTGATTTCTAATCTGTCTAGCGGAAAAAGAACGTTTTGATGAAATAATTAGCAAAGTCGGCGCAGAAGCGGTCGGTGCACTTCCAACCTTACTAGCTTTAGCTACTGCTGTTGCTTTCCTTCTCTAAAACATTTTTTATACGACTGGCCTTTGTATGCAATGCTTTCCAAGTTACTGTCGGCTGGAATGTTTCTAACTCGGGTTTTTTTGTCGCTGTTGTGAAAGTGATGATGAGTTACAAGGATACTTGTGTGGCCGTCCTCACTGATTGTGCAGGCCCCAACATAGTCTCTATTTTTTCGGAGATTTGCTAGTTTGGCTATTGTGGCTTCATGGAATACCGAGGTCATCCTGGCCAAAATCTGCTCTAGGTCGCCATCACCACAGGTAGTCGCAGCACTTGCGGATCAAAGAGAGATTTGCCACCATGCGACCTTGATACCAGGACGGTGGTGGATCCTGGTATTGGTTTACTCTTAGCTAGGCTACCTGTTAGAAACGCCAGACTCCTTCTTAGCTTGGGAGACCTTGACAGAAGAATGAAACCCCTGCTGTACATCTCAGCCCAAGACCCAGAAACACCTTGCAGCTGCGATGAGGCGGTAAACCGTTAAGAGGGTGATGAATTAGCCAATCTTAGTCCTCACCGATTTTGTCGATGGCACATCTTTCTAAAAGCGAGAAATAGAATTTATTACATCATCAAGTTTATGATCGTTTTAGAATTGTTTTCTTGAAGTTCCTGTCTCTTGTCTTCTCTTGAAAAGTTGGACCATACGCATAGTAGGCACCGATTAGCTTTTGTGTAGAGCTTTGGAAGAACAAGGACATCCGCTAACCAAAACTTTGGTACTAATATGACCTGATTTATTTCGTTTTGGTAATCATAACTGAGTGATCCCCACCTTAATCATTGAGCGGATGGCGTCTGAAAATGTGAATCTTTGGTTTCTGCCGTCACCATAAAATTAAACAACCTCTTACCCTATTCATTCTATTTCAGTCCGAGCGCCGGTGTGTGAAGTTCTTTAAATGTTTGCTTAGGACTAGTTTTGGCAGTGAAGCTACCGATGACGACATTGTTTTCAGAAGATGTCATCTTTAGGCTATTAAAAATGCCTTTATCTTTGTCATTGCTTAACACTACTGACGTGTAGGAGACTAAAAGCGACGCAGTGGTCCTGGTCCATTTCTGCTCAATTGTTAACGTTTGGACTAGTGTCAATAACTCTCCAGAGGAATACTTGATACTTGACGCTTGAATCGCCCGTCCTTACTGGTTGTGCGGGCCCCAGCACAATCACCATTCCTCGGAGATTTGCTGGTTAAGCTATTATGACTCCCTGGAATCCCGAGGTCAGCCGGGCCAAAGTCTGCTCCCTTCAGAGGAATAAGCTCGACTAGTCGCCTAAACGTGTTGAAACTAATTCAGCTGCCTCCGCTACTGCATAGTATATGAAATTTGTTACACTGGTGTCTTCTTATCTCGAACAACGATGTTGTATGTGCTCATGTTCGCTATACTTATGGGGTTCTCAGTGTGTCCTTTCGAAATTAGGGTATGTTTGCAGTAGGTACAACTCATGATAAGGGTATTATTTTGCAGGTTTGTGTGGCTACTTCGTGCTTTCCTATCTCGTATTTGTTGTACAGAGGGTTCTACTGAGATTCGTTTAGGATTAATGAATTCCAAAGTAATGTAGATAACTGACAAGCTTTAACTTATTATTTATCAGCCATTATTTTTTCACGGCATGATGTGAAGTGAAATACAATCGCAAAGAAGCTGAGATGTGAGAAAAATCCACAAAGCAAGTTGGGACCCAGACACTCGATTACCCTTACTGGGGGTTCGTGTGCTACTATTCATTACATCAACAGAAACCCATTCAATGCCTCTCTCTCGGCCACTTCTTTACCCTAACGGTGCCATGTCATTAGCAATCACAGTAGTAAAAATAGGTATTGAACCTATTTAAGCCAAAGCTGCAGTTTAAATCATAATGTTTTAACTCCGTTTTATATTTTTTTTTATTTTTGTGTGACCCGTTCTCACGTCTACTGTGCGGATCCCAGCACTTCTCACATTCGATTCGTTTCCTCTCATCCATTATCCACGAAGACCTTACAACTTTTTATGTGCGGCTTCGGCTACTGCTTGAGGATTTTCGTTTCATCTTGAATGTCGTAGAATGCTAATTGAGTCGATTTTCCCTGGAGTCCTGAGATAGCCGAGCTAGAGCGTTCCCTGCAATTAGACTGCAGAGAGTGATTTCTTTCTCGGACAAGTCCGGTGCCAATTCCTCAACCCCGGAGGGACGCGTAATTTGGTTGCACCGAGGCGGAATTGAACCAGCACCTTGTTCGTGATGACCGACGTAACTACCACTGTGCCGTCCGCTACTTTTAACTTTTATTTAATGCCTTTCTATAGCACGATTGTAAAATGAAATTCACCAATTAATCATAGTTTTAGAATTATAAACGAAAGAAGTAATTGCTCCTTGGAGAGGGAATTTTAAAGTACCAGTTTTGCTCTAGTTGAATACCAGCCATCTAAACAAGACCTTTTTTAGGTGTTATGTTCACTGACGATATTCGGAATCGGCGTCGGTCGCATGCTGGAAGGTGCTAAATGGGGAATAGGAGTAGAACTCGCTTACGCGCTTGTGGTACTGGCAGTTGGACTCGGTGGAATCTATTCAACCCGGCGGCGAAACTACGTCGCTGCCACATTCGCCTTCACCCTTAATACATTCTGTATAATACTGGCCGTTCCTCCATTTATGATCGGTACGTAAAGACTCTGAATTATAACGTATAACATGTAAAGCACAAAATTACGTTAAAAACGTCGTGAGTGGAATCAAGGTAAACGCATACTCGCTCGCACCAGATCACAAGATTTATCCTGAAAACGTCGTGAAATGAGAAACATTTACAAATTTAGTTTGCTATAGTCTCAGGTTGTGGCGACAACGTTTAGCTCGTCGTGGCGCTTACGTCACGAATATCTGTAACACACGTCGCTTATTCAATCGCTCCGCTTCTTGAAATGCTAGCTCCCGTATAATAAATGAAAAAATTGAAATTTTGCATAAATTTCGTCTATTGCGCGCCATTTTGTTTTTTGGAAGGTATTCTGTGAAACATATCCACAATGATGATTAGATATTTGCAAAACTCTACCCCCTGCCCAGATCGAACCCGCGATTACGTTTTCCTTGTGGCCACCTGCTACCCATTGCACTACTGAAGACCATGCTTCGATTTTCTATCGGCCACTCTTTTACCCTGACGGTGCTATCAGCAATAACCCATCAACATGAATGATCTAGGAAACACAGAACGGTGTAAAAGTTTTGTAAGTTTCAAAGTTTGAAACTTATCTTGATAAATCATTTAATTCATTTCCTTTCCTCCCACCCTTCACACACAGAGAGAGCGCTTGTAAAAAACATGCTTCCAACAGCCACCTCCATGTGCACGAAGAGGGAATTAAAGGAAGAATCGCGCTACTTGGCTCGGCAAGTAGCCATCTCCAATGGCTACGAAATAGTTACCCGACGCTCCAAAACGAAGTGCTTGGCCGAAATCTTTGCTCAGCAGCGCCATAATTTTCGGAAATCATGAATTTTAGATGGAATCCTACATGGAAAGCCCGAACATCTTGTAAGCATGGAAAGCCCTGCCGGTGAGGTGAAATTTCTGATGCACATCGCAATAGAATAAAAACGCAAAGCGTTCGGTGTTGATATATTGCATAGGAGTACACGGCATGTCCGACGGCATTAAGCACGAATGTTTATTAGTCAGAATACATATATATATTTATATTTATATGACCTTATAAACTAATCTTCTTAAGCTGACGCGAGGTTGGTACAGGTTTTCGTTGTCGTTGTCGTTGTTTATGATGTTGGTCGATGGTTGACGTTTCGGCGACTTCGCCTTCCTCGGAGCCTGCACGTATTTTATATTAGAATATTTCTATTGTTCGGTGGGAGAAAAGTTAAAGTAATAATGAAGATCAAACTTTTAAATAGATGCCATATTGAACAGTAAGGCCATTCACTGTGATGTTACTGGCCCACACGAAGTTCACGTGGGGTCGCGAGCAAGACACATCACGGGGTTAAGATATCATTTTGAAATAGGGCGCCAGGTCACGCGTGATAGTGAGGCATTCGTCTTTCCTGTTCACCCCTGGATTTTCGATATTTATCCAAAACGCCTCAAGAGTTTTGCGCGTTGATGTTTTTGATTCCTGCGCTAGGGTCCGCACAGTCACTTCAAAATCACTGCCGTTGTGCTTTTGTGCCCTATGCGTGCCTAGAAAGTTAAAATCGGTCTAAATACCCCTCTAGGTACGCATAGGGCACAAAAGCACAACGGCGATGATTCTGAAGTGACTGTGCGGACCCTAGCGCAGGAATCAAAAACATCAACGCGCAAAACTCTTGAGGCGTTTTGGATAAA